CAATTTAAAGGGTAATAAAATAATTGATGATGTAATATTTTCCCTATAATTATTACAGAAACACAAAAACGTATAAATAAGTATTTATATTTGTGTACAAGCTGTTTAGATTGTCAAAAAGCCTGTATTTTTAGGGTTATTAACAAAGTTTATGTACTCAGACCAGTAATATTTGGGGTCACAAGTTTTTACCATGAATATTTTGTGGGTCAGAAGACAAAAAGTTTGGGAACCACTGTTATAGACCACTGGGCCCGTATTTATCAAACCTCTCAGAGTGGATTTTTAGAAAGGGCTGAAAATTTCTTAGATTTGCTCCTACTCTCAGACTTAAGTGTAAGTGTCAGTTATAAAAATTCTTAAGTCTAAGAATCACTCTAAGTGTCAAGAAAAGTTAAGACTGCTCCAGAGGACTCTTAAGTGGTTAAGAGTTGCCACTAGGGGTCTGAGATGGACTGAAGACAGAGAACAGAGCTGTCAGTTACAAGGTGTGGAAAACAGGTTTATTCAGAAATACAAAGGAAACAAAGGTAAAAAATAAATAAATAAATAAAAATGTGCATAATGTTGGACTAAAAGGTGGATATTTGTGTGTGGCTTTTGGAGACAATATTAAATATACTCCAGCTGGTGAGGGATTTTCATCAGTATTCCTGATGCAAATGAGGACATTTTATGTAATTTACAGACAGTCCGTACAAGGTGACAACATTAGTGTGTTGAAAGTGAACCTATCTTAGGATTTTCACAGTTTTATCTTGACATTTCTCTGACAATATTCTTGAACATGAAATCCGAGGCAGTGATTGGTRTATGCCGGTGTTTTTCCTAACGACGTCATCCAGGATCAGCTTTGCGGCACAGCCAGGTGTTGCTTGTTTAAGCAGCTTTAAGTCTGACACTTAAGAATTACTCCTACTCTTCGCTTAAAGTCAGACTGAGACGCTTGATAACAAACTTTTACTCTCAGCTTTTAACTGAGAATCTTTTTACACTTAAGTCCATTCTTAAGAGTAATTTTAAGAAGTTTGATAAATACAGGCCCTGAGTTGTTTTATTTTTTTTAGCATTTCCTCTTCTGTGAAGAATGACGAATAGGGCGTAACCAAGGAGGAGTAGATAAAATAAAAGCCCTTTACATTTATTGAATCTTTTATTTTAGTTTTTTATTGTTTTATTGTTTTTTGTTATTTTATTTCTAATTCATTGTGAAGCTTCCAGTTTGTTGTCCAGAAT